CCCTAAACCCTAAACCCTAAACCCTAAACCCTAATTAAACCCTAAACCCTAAACCCAAAGTTCCCCAACTCCCTAAGCCCTAATTCCTGCGATGCTTGCCGCGATAACGGCGTGGGCGAGAGGACCTTTGGACCAAGCGAGGCACGCTCACCTCGGTTCCCCGCCAGCTGCAGTGGCTCCCTTGTCTTACTCGGCCCTTTGGTCGCCTGCTACTGGCAGCTTCTTGCAGTCCCTGGTGCTTTGCTGAGGGGAGACCTGACGGCCATTCGGGTTTAGGGTTTAGGGTTAGGGTTTAGGGTTTAGGGTTTAGGGTTTAGGGTTTAGGGTTTAGGGTTTACGGTTTAAGGGTAGTTTCATGTGCCCTTTATATGGTCCCTAACCTCCTTCGAAGGGTGCTGATGTATGGGCCCTTAATTGGTAACTGTAGAGTATATAAACGATTTACAAGGGGTACCCGTTTAAAGGCCCGTACTAAGGGACCATGCAACTACCCTAATAGAACATGAGTGGTCTCTCTTCTTCTGAGTGTGTATAGGGTTTAGGGTTTGGGCTAGTTTTACAGACCCTACTTCATATGCACCCGGCTACGCGAGTCGTGTAGGGCCGGGGCTTAGTTGTAATTTGTCGGTTTTGCGTATAGGGTTTAGGGTTTGGTTGGCGTATAGGGTTTAGGGCATACCCTAAACCCTAAACCCTAAGCCCTAAACCCAATTTCACTTAGTACCTTGTCGAGCAGTATACAGTATATGAAACTTTAGGGAAGGAAGGACTGTGGCTGTTCCGCGCCCCACCAAAAGGAACTAAACAATGCAACCTTCAGGCAGGAACCCTAAGCCCTGCACTCCTGCGCCACGGTTTAGGGTTTAGGGTTTAGGGTTTAGGGTTAAAACCTAAAGCCTAAAGCCTAAACCGGTCCAGTATCCCGGACAGAATTCCACAGAAGCACAAGGGACGCACCATTTCCCGCCCGTGGTGTGTTCGACACCGCCCTTTTTTTTAAAGTGTACGGGCAGCGTTCTTCAACAGTGTAGCGCATTTCTCCTCCTTTCCACCCAAGGAGTAACGTCTAGGGTCTGGAATTTATGCCGCGCCTCCACACCCGCGTTCCGTGCAACTTATCATCCAGTGTCGGGGGCGCGGGGTACGTAGCCTTTGGAGGATTGGGGGAAGCGCACTGCTTTATAGTATAGTCTCTCTTCCAAGCCGCTCCTTCACAACAAGTTGACCAAGTCCTAAACAGCCCTGAGCCCTTCGACCCAAAACCCTTTACACCCTGAACCCTAAACCCTAACCCTGAACCCTGAACCCTCAATCCTGAACCCCTAGATCCTACACCGGAAGAACTACGCAGGCGAATTCGTAGGAGCCCCAGCATTCCCGACCCCCCCGTTACAGCCCGAAAAGGGTGCTACTTAAAACTAATTGCTCAAGAACACCCAAGAACACCCCCCCCCCCCCCCCCCCCCGCCAAAAAAACTAAACAAAAATGAATGAAAGAACAAAAGCAGATCTTCTTGCTTATGAGGGTACTATATAGGAATGATTCTCCTTTAGTTGTTGGCGGGGGGGGGTATTTTAAGCAAATAGTAGTTTAGTACCCAGAGCTTCCAAGACCCCTTAATTAAGGAATAGACCGTAATTTGTACTAAGGATCTTTATCATGAACAAGGGCATATTCCTTAATTAAGGGTTTTGGAAGACCCTAAACCCGAAACCCTAAACCCTAAACCCTAAACCCTAAACCCTAAACCCTAAACCCTAAACCCTAAACCCTAAACCCTAAACCCTAAACCCTAAACCCAGTCTAGTGTGCAGATCGGCCCCAAGGGGAGTCCACAAGAACTCCTGTGAAGTTCTTCGTAAGACTTCGCCCGCCTAAACCCTGAACCCTATAAAACCCTAAACCCTAAACCCTAAACACCTTAAACCCTAAACACCTGAAACCCTAAACCAGAACCCTAACTAAGCCGAACTCCTGGAGCTCAGGGCCTCACTCCCTGGCAGCCCCCTTGGCGTGTAGCCAGGCAGGCTGGACTGGGACAAAAAAGAAATGCTGAGTCGCATTTACCGCTTTTTTTGAAGTGCGCGAACTGCACCTGATCTGGGGCCAGAGATCGTGGAACGGCAACGGCGCTTTGAGCACTGACGGTCCAGGAGGACGATCATGTTCATGATTCACATTCTCTTCACCCATAATGTATGGTTAGTTCTGATTGTGATGAAACAGTAGGATTTGTACTGTTGGCTATGACAATTGCTGATCTTTTCCTACTATTCCGCTTCTTATCATTATTGTTAGTTGTATGAAATATAGAAGCACAGACACACATGCACATATGTGATGTTCATTTTGTTTTTGAAAGCCGCCGTTCCCGTCTCTGAAGCATCTGAAGCTCGCGGCTTACGTGCTGAACGACCCGAGTCAAGACGTCCCCGAAGGGTGTTGCTACAATGAGGGGGCCCCATTTGGTGGTTTCCGAAATTCGGTGTGCCTTATTGGGGTCCTTATATTTATAAGGGGATCCTACGATTTGGGGGTCTATTTTAGGGTCCCCTATTTGCGTAAACCCCCCATTTTGGGGTGCTTCTTTGTATCCTCTGAAGATCCCCAGAGCCTATAAAGCCCAAACCCAAAACCCCAAAACCCTAAACCCTCCAAAAAGCCGTGAGCGCTGAACCCTAAAACCCTAAACCCTAAGTACCCTAAACCCTAAACCCCCGCCGTCGAAGGGGCCCCTGAAGGGGCCGACAGTTCAGAGCCCACGATGATGTGTGAGGGAGCTCCCGGAAGGGTCTAGGATTTAGGGTTTAGGGTTTAGGGTTTGGGGTTTAGGGTTTAGGGTTTAAGGGTCCAGTGGTCGCACTAGAGGTTTTTATAAGCCCGGTTTTGGGGTTTAGGGGTATGTAGGGTTCAGGGGGCTGGACCCTAAACCCTAAACCCTAAACCCTAAACCCTAAACCCTAAACCCTAAACCCTAAACCCTAGACCCTAGAGTCCCTGGGCCCTATGGGGGAGTTGTCCTCCCCCTCCCGGCCTCTCGACCTCATTTCCGTCGTGCCGTGGGCAGGCCCGGCTCAAAGGCGCAACCTAAACCCTGAACCCCCAAAGCGCTTAAGATCTGGGGTTTATTTAGGGTTTAGGATTTAGGGTTTAGGGTTTCGGGCTTGGGGCTTAGGGCGTAGGGCTTAGGGCTTAGGTTGTATTTAGGGTTTAGGGTGTAGGGTTTAGGATCTGGGCTTCGTAGGGTGTTTAGGGGGCTTAGAAGGGGGTGTAGGACTTGGCTTGTAGGGTTGTAGTAGGCCCTAAGCCCTAAACCCTAAACCTGCTGAACCCTAAACCCTAACTTACAAGCCCCATTCTGCTACAGGGGCTCCTTATGTCATTCCTACCCTAAAACCCTAAACCCTAAACCCTAAACCCTAGACGCCTACATCCGAAGCCAAGGGCACAGGGCCTGGTTGCTTTAGAACCTTGGCGCTCGATGGCACGAGGGTCCTGGCACGCCGGGACTCTTACAATACCCACGGTGAAGATGGAACCAAAGCAAAAAGGAGTTCGGGTTTAGGGTTTAGGGTTTAGGGTTTAGGGCTTAGGGTTTTGGGTTGAGGGTTGAGGGTTCCCTTGTCTGCGTCTACATGTGTAATGTAGCATGGACCTAAACCCGAAGACCCTCATAAGAATCAGCAAAAGATAGGGCTCTCTATCGAGCGAAGTGTTTAGGGTCTAATTCGGATAGAGGTAAGCAAGACCCCTTCCCTCCTCCCGTCCCTTCTTGAGATTCCACGTCAGGAGGGTAAGATCTTGCACTGGGTTATGCGCTACCCTTGGCTGATTGGGTTTTTTGGATCGGATTCTTGCACCAAATCCCTAAACCCTACACCCTAAACTTGCAGTACTAGGCAGGGCCTCTGTCCTGGTAGTATGCGCGAATATCACTCGGCCGTGCTCTGTTCTGCAAGTAAAGTACAGACCTTCAAGAAGGCGATCTACCCTGAACCCCAAACCCTAAGCCCTGAACCCTAAACTAACCCTAAACCCTGAACCCTAAACCCCTAAACCCTAAACCCCTAAACCCCTAGACCCTAAACCCTGAACCCTAAACCCCTAAACCCTAAACCCCTAAAACCCTAAACCCTAGACCAGCTTGAGCTGCTCCATCCTCAGCACCCGAAGGCCCAGACCCTAAACCTCAACGCTCAAGGGTTTAGGGTTTAGGGTTTAGGGTTTAGGGTTTAGGGTTTAGGGTTTAGGGTTTAGGGTGCTGCTTGAATGAGAGGTCATGTTCACATTCCATGGTTTAGGTAGGGTCTATTGGGGTGTAGGGCATGTTCCTTAGTTAAATCCGTGTTGGAGGACCTGTCTATTGGGAATCCTTACCATGAACGTCGAAGGCTTGTGCAACCCTAAACCCTAAACCCTAAACCCTAAACCCTAAACCCTAAACCCTAAACCCTAAACCCTAAACCGCGGTACCTATCCCGGGGTATAGGTTCAGAGCCCGGGATGCCCCCCAAAAAGAATCTAAGGGTAGTTTCATTCATGGGCCCTTTAATCTAGGGTTTGGGGTTTAGGGTTTAGGGTTTGGGGTTTAGGGTTTAGGGTTTGGGGTTAGGGGTTTGGGGTTTGGGGTTTGGGGTTTAGGGTTTAGGGTTTAGGGTAGTTACATGGGCCCTTACTATGGTCCCCGAACCTGGGTTCTGAAGTATGGGCCCTTAAGGTTTTCAGGGGGTATTTCATTTTTAGGGGGGTTCTCAAGCAATTGGTGGTGTAGCTACGTACCCTTAGAAAGAAGAGACCCCACTTGGAGTTTCATGGATACTTATAACCCCACTTATAAGTCTGCTTATAACCTACTTAGGGGACTTAGGGGGTTTATACGTGCAGTTGTAATTGGAGGTATAAGTGCCCTGAACCTCTAAGTTCTCCCTAACACCCCTAACCGCCTAAACCCTCAACCCTAAACCCTAAGTGCCCATGAACCTCCAAGCAAACGTGGCAGGACAATCTTCAACGAGCGGAAGCCGTTGTGAAGCGAAGACCTCGGCTGGCTCTCGTGTTTTCAGGACTTGCATGGCAGTGGGGTTGTACACGGGTAACTCGGATAACCCGGATAACCCGATAACCCGGATAGCCCGGATAACCCTAAACCCTAAACCCTAAACCCTAAACCCAAAACCCTAAACCCTAAACCCTAAACCCTAAACCCGAAACCCTAAACCCTAACCCTACGCCCAAAAAACCCTAAACCGCCTGAGCCCTGAACCCTCAGAGGGCTGTTTAGGGTTTAGGGTTTAGGGTTTAGGGTTTAGGGTTTAGGGTTTAGGGTTTAGGGTTTAGGGTTTAGGGTTTAGGGTGATGTGGCAAGAACTCTACAGTTCTACTGCGCCCTGATCCTTGTAAAATCACAGGATCGAAGCTGCAATTCATTTTTCTTTCTAGGGCCCCCGAAGCCCTACACCCTAAAGCCTAAACCCTAAACCCCAAACCCTAAACCCTAAACCCTAAACCCTAAGCCCTAAACCCTAAACCCTAAACCCCAGTTCAGGGAGACAGGGCCAGCAGCTTGACTTGTCAAGTGTCCCTTTTTGTCGTGGCTGTGGGGGGCTGCGGCGCTTGAGGGGCTCAGGGTTCTTGGGGTTTAAGGTTTAGGGTTCAGGGTTTAGGGTGTAGGGTTTAGGGTTAGGGTTTCGGGCTTAGTGTTTAGGGCTTTGAGGGGTTCAGGGTTTCGGGCTTCGGGTTTATGCCCTCGCAAACTCTGGATCTGGGGATTCAGGGCTTGTAAAATTCCGGGACTTGCTGGCCTCCAGAAGGAAGGCTTGGAATTCTCGGCGCTCTAAAGCCGGCAATTCTCAACGCCTAAACCCTAATCCCCAGCGTTTGAAGCCCCTGTGCCTCAGCCCGAGAACCTAAACACCCTACAAACCCCAAAAAAACAACCTTACAAAAACAACCTAACAGCCCTAAAAACCGTTAAAAAAAAAAAAAAAAAACACAAACACTAAATATCCTCGAGGCAGGGACTCTCCTTGGAGCAGGAAGGAGGGAAGCTCCAGGCACGGCGTTGATTTGGGTTCAGGTCTACATAGGGGGTTTCGACAGGAGTTTCGGTAGGAATATGGGGTTCTGTAAAAGGTCTTAAGTATATGAAATATGTGTATATATATATATATATATATATACATAGACATATGCATATATGATGCGTATAAAATCTATTGAAGTATACGAATATATTAATACACACATATATATATATATATATATATGTATTCCGGACAAGGCTATGGGGCCACGCGTTCAGGGTTCAGAGTTTAGAGTTTCGGCCTATCACATTGTTTGGGGCTTAAAGAGGCTCAGGTTTAGGATGTCGGGTTTCAGGTTTAGGGGTGACGAGGGTTTGGCGTCGTTGTTGAGTGCTATATCATCTCCTCGGCCTAAACCCTAAACCCTAAACCCCAAACCCCAAAACCTCGAACCCCAACCCCCCATCGGCGAGGTCAGAGGGGTTTAGGGTTTTGGGTTTCGGGTTTAGGGTTTCGGGTTTAGGGTTTAGGACCTAAACTCTATTGTTCGGAAGGGTGCTTAAGGGGCAGGGGCTTCAGGGTTTAGGGGTTTAGGGGTTTAGGGTTTAGGGTTTAGGGTTTAGGGCTTAGGGCTTAGGGCTTAGGGCGACAGCAGCTGCTTGACATGGGCGACCTCACGGTTCTTTTGCAGGTTTAGGGTTGTAGGGTACATAGGGTTTAGGGTTTAGGGTTTAGGGTTTAGGGTTAGAGGGTCAGAGGGTTAGAGGGTTATAGGGTTTAGGGTTTGGGGTTAGAGGGTTGAGGGTTTTGAGGTTTAGGTTTTAGGGTTTTGGGTTCTGAGGTGCAGGGCCATCGGGTTTTGAGGTTTAGGGTTTAAGGTTTTGCTCCATGGGTCTTGAGTTCCCAGAGCCCCACATGCTGTGCAATGCACCCCAGGAAGCTAAACCCCAAACCCTAAACCCTAAACCCTAAACCCTAAAGCCTAAACCCTAAACCCTAAACCCTAAACCCTAAACCCTAAACTTAAACCCTAACTGAATCAGGATGAGGAGCGGATCACTATAGGCCCAGAGGGAGTTTTGGAGCTTCGATTGAGGGTTTAGGGTTTTAGGATTTAGTGCTTTGGGGTTTTGGGCTTCGGGCCTTTCGTAGTTTGAGGTTTTGGGTCGACGATGTCGGGTTTTGCCCAGTTCCGAGCATGTTTCTGCAAGTCTCGCTCGCACTGTCAGCACGCATGACTAGGACTTAGGGTTTGAGGTTTGGGGTTTGGGGTTTGGGGTTGGGGTTTGGGGTTTGGGGTTTAGGTACCCTTATGAGCCCACTTAAACCCAAAAGGGCACCCTTTTTTTCCTAGGTTACTCTTGGGGCTAGATGACGTTGCAGATGCTTGCTGATTGGAGTGTTTCGGTTTCGCGCGGCCCTTCACAGGGAGGGAGGAGGAGCACGTGTTGCTGAGGAACATTCCATGGTGACCCTAACCCTAACCCTAAGGATTTGGGCAACATCTTTCGGTATCTTAGGGGTAATCACTTCCACTTTGTATTAAACGTACCCCTAAATTAATTATAAAAACGCTTTCCGGAAAATCCTGCCGAAACCGACACCGCCTTTAAAACCCTATTCCGAATTAGGGGCTGGGGTGAGGGCTCCCAAAAGCCTTGAAAACACGAACATCCTGAAGCTCCCTTCCCTCCCTTCCCTCCTGCCCTCCCAGTCATTGCTTAAACCGTTCAAACATTGAAGCCTAGACCCTAAACCCTTTGGACCTCAAATAACGGCATTTGGATATTATTAAACGCCCCCCCCCCCCCCCCCCCCCCCATTAGAAGCTCCAAATTTGTTCTTAATATTAGAGCGACTTTTTCATCCAAATGCCATTATTTGAGGTCCAAAGGGTTTAGGGTCTAGGCTTCAATGTTTGAACGGTTTAAGCAATGACTGGGAGGGCAGGAGGGAAGGGAGGGAAGGGAGCTTCAGGATGTTCGTGTTTTCAAGGCTTTTGGGAGCCCTCAACCCACCCCCTAATTCGGAATAGGGTTTAAAAGGCGGGGTCGGTTTCGGCAGGATTTTCCGGAAAGCGTTTTTATAATTTAAAAGACGCCCACAGCTTATGACAGGCGAACGGAACCCTGACAAAGATGAGATCCTGGAGCGCGAGGACTTTATGGATTTGTTGGGTGGGTTCTGGCTGCAAGGCCGGGAATTCTGACGCGCATCCCATGCGCATGCGCATAAACAGAATCTACACTGCATGTATGTCTTAAAGTCGTCTTTCATGGATAGCTGCTTGGGTATCAAAATGAATCTACTGCATAATCCGCCAACTAAGTGGTGCTTGACTGAAGGGCTGTTGAATTCTGGACTAAGTCGATATTGGCTTCGCTCGAGGTTTGGCCGTTCACGCCGCAAGTAGCTGCACGAAGCTCGGTGAAACAAACGTCGGGAGGAGTGCGCCGAGTCGCGAAGTCATGCAACGTTCGGCGCGTCTACCATACCCTAAACCCAAAACCCTGAGCCCTAAAGCGTAAATCTTACACATTGTCGGCACTGCTACCTTTGCAGCGAGACTTCACTGTCGCTACAGGCGGAAGATTGACTTCTACCTCGATCCCTAAACTTCCAACCCTAAACCCTAAGCCCCAAGCTTGCAACCCTAAACCCCAAACCCTGAACCCTGAACCCTGAACCCTAAACCCTAAACCCTAAACGCTACACCCTAAACCCTAAACCCTAAACCCTAAACCCTAAACCCTAAACTCCAACCCCCAGACTCCTGCAAGGAGAAAGTCTTGGAGAATCGCGTGCGGCAGACGGAATACCTCCTGGCAGAGCAGGAGGAGGACGTTGGAGTTTAGTGTTTAGGGTTTCGGGTTTAGGGTTTTAGGGTTTAGGGTTTAGGGCCTTCAGGGTTTAGGGCCTTCAGGGTTTAGGGAGTAGGGTTTAGGGTTTAGGGTTTAGGGTTTAGGGTTTAGGGTTTAGGGTTTAGGGTTTAGGGGCATGCCACTGATGCTTTCCCTGAGTCAATGCAGTGAAGGCCCCTCTTGAGATCCCAAATATAAACTACCAAAAATGACATGTATTCCCAAATTGTTTGTGGTTTAGGGGTTTAGGGTTTCGGGTTTAGGGTTTAGGGTTTAGGACTTCTACTGTGCATTCAGTGTCTCGCCATGGTACAGAAGCACATCTTCGGCTCCTTATTGACACACAGCCTGCGCTTCAAGTGTTGAGATGCTCTTGACAGCGGGTGCACACAGAGACAGGGAGAGTTTAGGGTTTAGGGTTTAGGGTTTAGGGTTTAGGGTTTAGGGTTTAGGGTTTAGGGTTTAGGGTTTAGGGGAGGGAGAGAGAGAGAGAGAGAGAGAGAGAGAGATCCTTGAGGAGGGCAAGACTCCCCCGCAGTGGGCATATCCTAAACTAAAGCCTATACCCGAAACCCTATACCCTGAGCCCTTAGCCCTAAGCCCATAGCCCTAAACCCTAAACCCTAAACCCTAAACCCTAAACCCTAAACCCTAAACCCTAAACCCTAAACCCTAAACCCTAAACCCTAAACCCTAAACCCTAAACCCTAAACCCTAAACCCTAAACCCCAAACCAAACCCGGGATGAACTGCAAGCCCACAGACTTGCTACGACGTGCATGCGGCTGCCAAGAAGTCCTTGCTGCCTGAACACTGGCTTGAAACCCTAAACCCTAAACCCCAGGGTTCAGGGTGCAGGGTATAGGGGGATCGTGTGCCTTTTGGGTGAGTTGCGGGGCCCGGAACCCCAAGCATGCGGGGAAAGGTTCATGAATCCCGCCAGTTGTTTTCTTTGTTTTGCGGGTGTAGGGTTTAGGGTTTAGGGTTTAGGGTTTAGGGGTTACGGTGCAGGCTTGCGCATACACCCTGAACCCTAGGCTTGAGAGTGTGGCAAGTGCCCTGAACATCATCTGGCGGGATGAAGAGTTGGCTGGAGGATCCTCTTCGCGCCCCCCGGCCCCCCACCAGAAACAGCGCACAGTTGCTAGGGTTTAGGGCTTAAAAATTTAGGATTTATGACTTAGGGTTTTTCATTTAGGGTTTAGGGTCTAGGGTTTGGGGTTTTAGGGTTTAGGGTGTACAAAAAAGCCTCAACCGGGACCAGGGATGCGGGTGTCGGGTGCAGGGTTTAGACGTTTGAACATGCTTTGCAGGGGTCCTTTTGAGCAAAACGATGGCCCCGGATACCCAGAAACCCCTAAACCTTAGCCCGAAACCCGAAACCCTAAACCCTAAACCGTAAACCCTAAACCCTAAGCCTAAACCCTAAATCCTAAACCCTAAACCTTAACCCTAACACCAATTTTTCTTTCGCAGGAGCTAGACAAGCGCCTGTCGAATCTCGGGGTGAGCAAGGCCGGGATGAGTTGGGGGTTTAGGGTTTAGGGTTTAGGGTTTAGGGTTTAGGGTTTAGGGTTTAGGGTTAGGGTTTAGGGTTTAGGGTTTAGGGTTTAGGGTTTAGGGTTTAGGGTTTAGGGTTTAGGGTTTAGGGTTTAGGGCTTAGGGTTTAGGGTTTAGGGTTTAGGGTTTAGGGTTTAGGGATACTTGGTAGCCCAGTGGTACCCTTTTCCCTTTTTTGGGATTCAAGGTTCCCTTCTAAAGTAGCCAACCCCAAAAAAGGGTGCCCTTATTATAATATGGTTACTGGGCTACTAAGTTAAGGTTGTAGAGGATCGTGCTGAGGTACGTACCCGATTTAAAATCAACATTCGGATCTTGCGGTTGCTAACATCTGGGTCCTCTGAGCTGCTTGTGTCGGCTGCCCACATGGTTGCCGCGTCGGCGGCACAGGCGCCCAATGTTCACATCATCTCAAGAAAGAACCCTCCCCACCCCCATCCCTAAACCCTAACCCCCCCCCCCCCCCCGGTTCCATGTTTTATTCGCCTCTGCAAACGAGACACTTCTTTCGAGGCCCGCCCTTGGGATACTCCAACCTCTCTCTTGGTTGAGGGTTTAGGGTTTTTGACAGGGTGTTTGGGCTTCACAGGGTGTAGAGGGTTTGTAGGGTTTATAGGGTTTGGGGTTCATAGGGTTTGGGGTTCAGAAGATCCTGCCGAGGAATCTTCTTTCCGACGTTCCGAGGCTCTAGAAGACCAAATGCAGAATCCTAAACCCTAAACCCTAAACCCTAAACCCTAAACCCTAAACGCTAAACCCTAAACCCAAGAGTTTTTTTTTTTTGGGGGGGGGGGGTTTCTCGAAGGCGCTCACCGACCGAGTGAAGAAGGTTCAGGAGGAGAAGGAGACGCACCTGCCTCAGCTCACTGCTTGGGAAACTAGGTTTAGGGTTTAGGGTTTAGGGTTTGGGGTTTAGGGTTTAGTGTTTAGGGTCTAGGGATAAAGCCTACACCCTACACCCTAAACCCTGAACCCTAAACCCTAAACCCTAAGCCTTATGTTATGGCCCGAAAGCATCCGGTCGCCGGTTTGGGGTTTACGCTTAGGGTAGGAAGTGGGGCATATGGAAGCCCGGTCCCAAGAAACAGCTAGGGTTTGGGGTTTAGGGTTGAGGGTTTAGGGTTTAGGGTTTAGGGTAGGTGAGCAAAGGAGAAGTCCCCAGCGCTTGTTTCTTTGTTGGGAATCAGGGTTTTTAGGGTTAGTGCCAGCCCACAGTTCAGGTGAGGTCAACAGCCTTGCGCATGTTGCCTTTGCCCGTCGCCCTCATTCTTCGACGTGCTGCAGCGTAGCCCCCATGCTGCAGCACAGGTGATCTGCCTGATGTGGTCGTCCCTGCGCCTTCAAAATAGGCATTTCTTGTGTCCCTAAACCCGAAACCCTAAAAACTACACCCTAAACCCTAAACCCTAAACCCTAAACAGTCTTTCATAGGGCTTATAGTACCCTCTACTTATCATCACTATGATTGGCTCTTAGTAGAAGGGGGAACATCCCAACTTAAGACCCTAAACACTAAACCCTAAACCCTAATCCGTAGTGCGGAGGTTGCGCCTGGAAAGGCAGCGATTGGTTACGGAGGAGCGCCAGACTTTGGGGGGTGCTCGGGGTGCTGCTCCAGAAAGCTGGAACATGGGTTTAGGATTAGGGTTTAGGGTCTGGGGTTTAGGGTTTAGGGTTTAGGGTTTTGTGGTTTAGGGTTTAGGGTTTAGGGTTTAGGATGATTAGTGCTGGGTTTGACTCTACCCTAAGGGTATTAGGATCCTGGTTGTCCAACTTTCTGGAGTTACTGATAGGGTCTGCGAAGTCTGAGAGGAGGTAGTAGGGGGCTCAGGGTTTAGGGTTTAGGGTTTAGGGTTTAGGGTTCAGGGTTTAGGGTTTAGGGTTTAGGGTTTAGGGGTGGCAGGAGGGGGTGTCGTTGAGAGTTTCACGGGTCTGCGATGCAAGGGTGCTTTTGGGGTTCGGGTCTAGGGGACTCCAGAGCCTCGTGGTGGCTGGCGGCTGCCAAACCCGAAGCTCTAAGTACCCACAACCCCACGCCGTCAACCCTAACCAAAACCTAAATACCTTAAACCCCAAACCCCAAGCACCCTGAAGACTAAATACACTTTTTTCATTGCCGTGGGGCACCGTAAATACACTGCGGTCTCCAAACTCTTATCCTAAACCCACCAAACCCTAAACGCTAAACCCTAATCCCTAAATACACCCAAACACTCTTACCCTAATGCGGCGGCACTGGGAGTGCTGGACGGCGTCTGACGTCCAAGTCAACAGAAACTGCAGTGAGGGTCCCCGAGACTTACTGTTGGTTAGTAGGGAATGAGAAACCCCAAACCCCAAACCCAAAACCCGAAACCTTAAACCCTACAAAGCCATATCCCTAAACCCCCCAACCCTGTACCCTAAACCCTAAACCCTAAACCCTAAACCCTCGACTGGAAGCCAGGAGCAAGCGCTCCGGAAGTCGGAGTTTCGACTGGAGGAGGTGGGCGGAATCTTGCGACTACTTGCTTAAGAACCCCCCCAAAAAAACTATGAAAATCCCTAAGGGTGTGAGGTTTAGGGTTTAGGGTCTTAGCGTTTTAGGGTTTTAAGGGTTGTAGGGTTTTAGGTTTTAGGGTTTTAGGGTTTTAGGGTTTTAGGGCTTTAGGGTTTTAGGGTTTTAGGGTTTTTAGGTTTTAGGGTTTTTTAGGTTTTAGGGTTTTCCAGCTTCTTGGGTTTTCCCATGGCTATTAGTCGGGAATGAGGGAACTAGGGCCCTGGATTATTTAGGGTACCCCATTCCCTCATTCCCTACAAAGAACCAGCCAGGTTTAGGGTCTATAGGGTCTTTGGGGGGGGGGGGGGGGGGGTTAGGGTTTTAGGATTTTAGGGTTTAGAGTTTTAAGTGTTTCTTAGGGTTTTAGGGTCTTAGGTTTTAGGGTCTGCAGGGTTTAGGGGTTTAGGGTCGTAGGGTTTTCGGCTTTTTGGCTTTTGGGCTTCTAGGCTTTGAGGCTTTTAGGCTTTGGGGTTTAGGGTAAGAAAGTTCGGAGGTGGTGGAGAAGCTAAGAGACCTCATCATTCCGGCATCTGCCTTCTGCATCGGCCTTGACGTCAAAGAGTTCCCCATGACTGGCAGGCATGCTGATTTTGTGGAGTCCTGCTCCAGGCATGTGAATGATGAGTGGACAGTATCCTTTTGCCGTGCAGCGGGGCTTCTAAGTCTTGTTAGCCCAGTGGTACCCTTTACTTTTTTTTTTGCTCTTGGTTCTTTTATAAAGCAACCAACCAAAAATGGGTGCCCTTGTTGTGGTTACTGGGCTACCAAGAAGTGAGCTGGATCCATTCAATGTTCACTGTTTTTTGGGTTAGGGGTTTTAGGGTTCCAGGTTTTTAGGTGTTTTTTCTTAGGGTTCAGAGTTTAGGGTTTAGGGTGTTTAGGATGTTTAGGGTTCTGGGATTGAGGGTCTGGGGTGGTGAGCCCAGTACTCAGTAGTCCTTGGAAGGTTTGCCCGCTTTCCCCCCCCCCCCCCCACCCCCACAAACCCCTAAACCCTGAACCCTACACCCTAAACCCTAAACCCTAAACCCTAAACCCTAAACCCTAGAAGCCAGCCGCTTGGCCCAGGCCTCCCAGGGGCGCGGCCGGTACTACCGGGCGTGCCCGGTAGGCTGACAGGGGCCCGTAGTTCTGGGTTTGGGTTTTTTGTGTTTGGCCTTCGGGGTTCCTTGCCTTGGGGTTGTGGGTTTTTGCCGTTTGTGTTCTTTCCTGGGGTTCTCCGCGTAGTCGCGGGCCGTGCCATGGTTTCGGCGTGCGTATGTGCTGACTCCATTTGTGGGAGCCCACACTGGAGCCCATGTCAGAAGTGGTCCAGCCGTAAGGTGATGTACTTCATGCCGACACATATTGCAAATCATCAGTGTGCATATGGTCAGCTTGTACATTCTGCTTCGCCAGTGGAACTTGGAACACACAAGCATCAGCGACTGCCTATTGTTCTTCAAGACGAGGTGGTTATTGAGGGTGTAATTCTTCCTGACTTGCAACTGGGAAAGATCTATGTGATGTTTGGTTGCATCTCACCTGTGTGGAGACATCATGCGTGGCATTTTCAAGTACCTCGACTTGGACCTCACAGCGGTATAGCACAGGTTGTGGCGTGGAGTCGTCCTTTGTCATCAAGCTTTGAGGGGAGTGTGTCAGCAGGTTCAAGAGATGCTTCAACTTTGGACTCCAATGTGGTGGAGCAGTGCTTGAGACACAATGATGTGACCCATGATATGTCAGCACATCGTCAGCGTGATGGCGGGGTTTGTGGTGATTTGCATACACACTTCACTGGATTCGTTGATCTAGACGGCAAATTCCATTCTATGCCTGTGCCTAGCCTAGGACAAACGTGGCCACAGTGGATATCCCCAGTGTGTCCTGTACCATGTCAAGCGATGCAGGCTACCATTGATGGCATTGTCGTTCCTCATACAGATTCGTTGCCACTAGGGGGTTTTATACTCAGGCTTCGTGGACTGTTGCGTGGTGGCACTAGCAAGGATCGAACCAAGCTGGTTCAACATTTGTTGGTGCGTGGAGTACCGCAGTCTTCAGTGGAAAAGCGTGCTGATGAAGTGATTGGGTGCATAGGTCAAGAAGGCTTGCAGGAGGTATACAAATCATTGGAACCGTGGGCAAAGCTTAAGCAGCTCATCAACAATCGGATGCGGTTGGTGACAGCAACTGAACTCAAGATGAGTAAGCAGACGTCTCGGAGTGTTCAGGATGACCCTTGGTTGAAGTCAGATCCCTGGTCTGAGGCGGTGTCTAGTGGTGACAAGCGGAAGCAGGACGATGGACCACTCGACATTGAGCTCATCCCTGGGACCTTCACCGGCGCAAGCCACGCTCCCGTGCCAATCATTTCAGCGCTGCGTACTGGTGGCCATGGTGTTACATTCAGCAGTCTCCAGGAGGTTGAAGCCTTTGCATCATTGGGTGGCTCTTCAGATGATGGGTTGGCTTCCGTGGTACTAAGCCCTACCCGCCCTAAGGTCCCCAGTGATAGGATTGCTGAAGTAACCTTCCCCGCAAGTGCGAGCAACCAGCGTATCCTTTTGCGAGGGTGGCTTGTGCAGTTTGGGAACACGAAGATCAGTGTGAGTCAGGCCAAGCATCAAATCACGGCGGCAGATACCCAGGTGGCTATCATTTCTTGCGAATTGCGTAAAGAGTACATTGAGGACTGGAGCGTGGTTGTTGGCAACCCGATGCGCTACATCCACAACCACATTGACAACCTTCAAGGCGTCATATCTTCTTGGTCCAAACGCTGGTATTCTGGCAATAAGCAGGTGCAAGCCAAGGATGCGTGCACATTCCATGCATTTCTGAAACTGCCCCGGGACACGTTGTCAAAAGTTCTTCCTCAATCAGGAAAGGATGGCGTATTCTTCACTCCGAAAGATGGCCCTTCTGGTTCATCCAGTGGTGAGTACAGGGTAGTTTGGACCCACACTGCGGACATTGGTCATGCCATGACCGTGATGCGTGCGTACCCTTCTGCACAAGGGCTGGTTCGAGGGAGAACGTCCCTAGGCATCAGAGTTGCAGCAAAAGAGTATAGCAGCATACGCCAAAAACTGGAACCATCTTGGACTGCGAGCGGTATCAAGGTCGATATTCCCATCATGGCCAAATGGTCTATGGCGCCCATCCCGCCGTCCATGGATAAGATTTCCCTCCAGAAGGTTCTTGATGAAATGAGCTGGGAGGCTACACCGTTGAGGCAAGTCAACCACAACACGTGGCTCATCGGATCATCGTCTTCAGATGCGCCCTCCACTGACACGGTGGAGGTCAACGGCAACTTGGTATTAATCACTCCGGCGCAGCCCTCAAAGGCAAACCCGCCGTCTGAGACACTAGTAGCTGGTCCTGTCGCACTACGCAAGGCTATCAATCGGCAGGTGGCCCTAGGTAGCGCGGCCTTTGTACCATACATTGGTAATCCCCAAGATGCTGTTGCGCCTCAAGGACCCACCATGACCCAGGTAGGTGTGCTTCAGGCTGATGTGGATAGAAAGCTTGAGGACATGAACCAGCGTTTCCAAACAGCCATTGAGGACCTGAAGCAACAACAAGTTGACATGGAGGCCAACATGAAATTTCACCAACAACAGGTGCACCAAACCCAGCATGAATGTGCCCAAAGGGTTATTGCTGTGGAGCAAAAGGTTGAGTGCTTGTCAGCAGCTGTGGTAACCAAAGCGGACTTGACACAAGCGTTAAAGGAAGCGATGGATCTACAAAGGTCTGAGCTTCGACTGTTGTTATCTAAAAGATCTCCAGAAGTCACCCCGACAAATACCGGGGATGGTAAATCCCAGCGTGTTGGCTGACGCAGTGCAGCCGTCCAGCCCGTTGCAGCGGTTCATGTCGTGATGGAGTTATGTGATTGTCGGGTTAGAACAAACGCCTTCTGCCTGGCAGGATGTTCCTATGTGACGGTGCCGTGTGTGCCACGGGCTGGGGTAATTAGCCAATTTGGCAATGCAACTGATAACGTCCAGCAGTCATCACTGCTACACACCACTTCGTGGCATGTGCAACTTAATTGTCAGCTTTGGCGACCGCAGCCAATCTCGCATCTTTCGTGTGCCTGGGACAAAGTGTGGGGGTTGTTTGCCGGTTGTTCCTGTTTTGGGTTTGTGAGTTTCGTGGAACGTGTCAGGCATAACGAATACTCCTTTTCGTATGCCTGTAGGGTTGGGGAAGCACAGAATCCTGGACCTTGGAGTTTTTTGCTACGCAATGTCGTGTCTGCAAATAAGCATGCCGACGAATTAGACCTTCAAAACAATTGCACAGCTTGGAGTGAAACCTCCGCTAATACTGCCACCCTTGCTAAGCTTCATAAGCGAGCTAGGTCCATCAAGGGTTATTTGGCATCTTCTGCGCCTTGGAATAACAAGCGCCCAGAGCAGTCTTCTGGTGGAAGGTCGTCCGCCGCAGGTACGCTGTTGTTGTCCAGACATCATTTAAAATCCTTACATAACCTATGGGACAAGGCTATTTGGCAATCGGCCAGAGTCACTGATTGTCTCATTCAGCTGAGTGATATCCAGATCCGTGTTGTGGTAGTTTATGGGGTGCATTCTGGGGTTGCCGGTGCGCTTGAACAAAATGAAACGCTTTTTGCTGAAATCTTTCGCATGATTGGGTGTAACCATACCCCGACGCTGGTTACGGGAGATTTCAATTGCGACTTACGCAAGCTGGGTTGTTGGCAGTGCGCCTTGGATAAGGGTTTTGTTGATGTTGGGGAGAAAATGGCTGCACTCACCAATGAAGTTCCGCAACCCACGTACAAAGGTGTATCTAGACTTGATTACATTGTTTGCTGTCCCTTGGCTTTCAGGGCCTTGGAAACTTTCGCGGTAGATCCTAATGGTTTTACTGACCACGGATTGCTTCAAGCAACATTCCGATGGGAAGCCGTCATGACCCGAATACCCAAATGGAGCTTGCCGTGCGACCTTGCAAAGCTGTGCCAGCTGCAGAAGCAATTCCGTGCGGAGCCCATTTCGACGCAGTATCAAGCCAAGTGTTTGCAATACATTCAGAGTAGGGATACTCTTGCGGCATTTAGATGTTTTGTTGAAGGATTTGAGGACAAGTTTATGCGGGTGCATTTGCAAGCCCTTGGGTCAAAACTGCCGGTTAAGTTCTTAGGTCGGTTTAAAGGTAAGGTAAGACATGTACATCCAGTGTCTGCCGCTCTACATCCGACACAAGAGGTGGTTACAGATCGAATGCGCTTCAACATGCGTGCAAGAGCGATATCCAGGCTCCAGCATTTGCGCCACTTGCTGGCGAAAAACTGCCAACCTGCTCAGTGCCGTGACCTGTGGCACAAGTTGCATGCTGATGGTAGCTTCAGCCCGGACTTTGCATCGTGGCTGATCGAGCAAGACATTTGTTCACTTGTCCCTGTTGATGTGCCGTCGCTGCAGTGGATTGATAGCATTTTGCCGTCTGTGCTGCATGACTTCAAGCTAATGCAGTTGTCTGTCGCACGTGAGCAAAGGGCTGCTGCCAGTCGTACCTTCGAACAGGATTGGAAGAAAGGCGGTAAACTGCATGCTGCCAGTGTCAAGCCTGAATCACCAGCGAGGCTTGATTCCCTGCTTAGGGAAACGTCTTTACATGTCAGCCCGTTGCGCACTAGTAAGGGTGATCATGCCAAATTCCGAGTCCGGGAGCCACAACTTGTCCAGATGGGTTCAAAGTGGTGTTTTGGTAAGTGTTCTGCGGCTGTGTTTAAAATTGAAAAGGACGTTGTCACGCTTGATTCCCCGATGAAAATTGAAATGTATAGGAAAACGGTTATCCAAAAGGCGTGGTGTACAGATCCTGTGTGGTTGTTCGACCAGTTTTCACAGTTCTGGTCTTCGTATTGGAACCACTCACGACCGGTCGTACAATCTCAAGCCCAGTACTTGGTTCATGCCTTGCCGCATTTACCTGCTTTCGACCCGGAAGTCACCACAGCAGACGTTCTTGAAGCTGTGCGACGGTTGAAGGTGGGAAAGGCTAGGGGTTTAGATGGGTTTAGTAACTTTGAGCTGCAATGTGTGCATGAAGAAGATGCACAACTGCTTGCGTTGCTTTTCAACTCCATA